ATACTGAAAAAAAGTGAAAACATGAAACTATAAAATGAACATTCTGTCGTAATACTTCAAAAAATAAGTTTGTTGTTTGTACTACTTATTTAAAATGAGCTAAAACAACACAATGCTTGAGCTTTTTGGGGAAAACAACTTAACTGTTTTATGTTCAATCAACCTAAAATTGTACAAACCATTAAGGTAATCCATTTCCATTGGGATAACCTGAAGGGATTGTGTCGAAACCAGCATTTATTTTTACAGTGTACAGTCAAAAAATTGCAGTTTGTTCAATTTACTTCTATAAAATGAGCCAAAACAGCAAAACTCATTAGTTTTTTTAGGACAACTTAATTGTTTTATATTCAATCCACTTAAATTTGTAAAAACTAATGTTAACTTAATTTATTTATGCTGTCCCAACACAAATTCATTGTTTGGAACATTATATACTCCTCTACAACTTGTTTCAAACCTATTTGTTTTATTCTTCTGTTGAACACAAAAGAAAATCATCTGAAGAATGTTGCAAACCAGTAACCATCGACCTCCATAGTATTTTTTGTCAATGGATGCCAGTTGCTCCCAGTTTCCAACATTCTCCAAAATCACATGTGAAAAACTCAGTGCTTTCGAACCACTTCAGTGCAAACAAATGAGTAGTTTTTATTTTTGGATGAACTATCTCTAATCCTCAAGTGCACATAAGCGAGGTGAAAAGAGACAGAGTAATTGATTAACCTCCTAAAAAGAGGTGTATTTTGGACGAGGACCACGATCCGCCCCTCTGGACTCCAGGGACACATGAGCGTCCCACAGCCCAGAGGAAATTAGCAGCCCTTTATAACTAGTAAAATGCTCTGTTAAAGCGTTAACACCTCACAGAGAGTCCCAAGAGAGCTACTTCTGCCGATGGTTTGGTAAGATAGTCATGAGAGCCCCCGATGGAGACTCTTTCCACCGTCCCGTCCCGCCTCTGAGAACCAGACCTTCGGGACGTTCACTCGTCCCAGAAGGAGGGGCGTCTTAATTGAATACTCTTGTCTAGTTATCTCAGGGTAATGATGGGCTTTATCGGTCGGTTAAGCATGTCTTTTTGTTGTGACAGAGCCTCCTTTGAGATCCATCCAGGTTGAAGCTTCGTAGCCTCCGGTTTTTGGGGAAAAAGGCGGATGTGTTGTGCTTAATTAAAATGGGAAAAGATGCCGTCCAAATTCCCTGATTAAATCCATACTGCTGATTCAAGAGCGCGAGCAGTGGCATTTAGAGATGAATGATGGGAGTTAATAGAATTAGAGTGTTTTGATGTGTGCGTGCGTGCATGTGCGTGTGTGTGGTATTCATGGGAAGCGGATGTCATTGAAGATCTATGTAAGCTTCAAAGGATGGTTAAAACTCTAATTGAGCAAGGCAGGACTTGATGTTTGGGCCATGGCTGAGTTGGTTTGATTGAGATTTGCATAATGAGATAAATAAAGTGTGTGGTGGTTTGTTAATAGCTCAATCCAGTGGTGCCGATTGGTTCAGACCTGAAATCTAGCCGATAGCTGATTTGTAGATGATTCAAAACTGTATTTCTTTTGCAGAAGAAAATACAGAATTACAAAATACTTGTTTGTTTGTTCAATCAATCACCAAAAATGCACTCCAAACATGACATTTGCCTAAGTATTTGAAATGAGCTGAATCAACACAATTCTTGAGGTTTTTTTTGAATGACAGCTTAATTATTTTATGCTCATTCCACTTAAATTTGTAAACTAATAAGTTAACTTAATTCCTGCATGTTGACCTAACACAAATCAATTGTGTTGAACTCAAAATACTGCATTGTAAATATGCTGGGTTTCCCAAAATCGATTTGTGTTGGGACAGCATAAAGGAATTAAGTTAATATATTAGTTTACAGATTTAAGTGGATTGAACATGAAACAATTAAGTTATCCCAAAAAACTCAGTTATTGTGTTGTTTCAGCTTATTTTAAATAAGTAGCTTGAACGAGCAAAAAAAATATTTTTGAGTGTGTAGTTTTTGGTTGTAAATAAATCCGTTTGTTGATGCTATTTACCAAATATAAATTATTTTATATAGTTTTTATTTAACCTTTTAATTTTGATTGATTTGTTTTTTTGATTGGGTTTTTTTTGCTAAAAAGGTTTTGTTTAATCATGATAAAGGACTAAATATTAGATATATAATCTACATTGATTCACGCATGTTAATCTTGAAAATATATTTCAAATGTAAATATATTTATGATTAAAAATTATATATATATATAAAAAAAAATATATATATATATATATATAATTAATACAAATTAAATAAAAATAAAAATATGAATATATATATATTATTTGTGTGTGTGTGTGTGTGTGTGTGTGTGTGTGTGTGTGTGTGTGTGTGTGTGTGTGTGTGTGTGTGTGTGTGTGTGTGTGTATAATACAAATTAAATAAAAACAAAATATTAATAAATAAAATTAAAAAAAAAAAAATATATATATATATATATATATATATATATATATATATATATATATTTATTTTTTTATTTATTTATTTATTTTTTTTGTGCATCAGTTAAAGGGTCATTTTTGCTATAAAATCATAATAAATGAAATATATACAATCATATTATTTATGGTGACTTTCGCCAAATGTAGAATTTTATCAATATATATAACATTACTCAATTAGTGTTTTACTTTTTTATCCATTTATTGATTTGATTGTGATATTAATTGTCAAATCACAATAAATGAATATGATTTGGGGTTTTAGACTAAATAGTTTAAATTAATACATTTTATTTTTGACAAATTTTATATATATATATTAAATAATATAGTATTATATGTCCAAATATGATCACGTGATTGAAAATCGGGCTCGATCACGCGGTTTCAGACTCGATCGGAATCAGACATTACCTCCTGATCAGGACTCCAATATATATAGCATGACATCAGTTTGTTGCAGAGATGCTATTGGTTAAATGCCGGCAAAGTAGAACATGGAAGCAGTCTAGATAGGATACAGCTGTGAATACGCAAATCAATATTTACATATTTGATAAAAAAAAAAAAAATTACAGTACTGTGATGGTTGGGTTTAGGGATAGGGTAGAGGTAGATGTTAAAAAATAAAATTTATTGGGCAATTTAATAAATAACATAATACTCGGTACAATTACTGTTTATATGTGATGGAAATTTAATAAAGAATTTAAATAATTCTGGTTAACTTCTGGCCGCAACCACATCTGATCTAGCAACAACCTGAGTATGTCTGTGGTCTGGAGGTATTATAAAGTTGATGACGATAATATTGCCATAGCAAACTGTGAGATATGTAAACTTGGGATTGCAAGAAGTGAAGAATTGTTGTTATTTATTTGCTTGATTGTTCAAGCTACCTCACAGAAGTGCTCTGTTTGTTAACAGAGTTATTGAATGTTGAAATAAGGTGAAAATAAGAGATCTGTTCACTCTGTTTTATGTATTATAGAAGTATCAGATTGGGTTTCGATATCGGTAGATACTCAAAATCAAATGACTCGAGGGCAAAAAAACCTGATCAGGACATCCCTAGTATTATACAATGTTTTATACTATAATAAATTATCCTCAAACTTATGGGCTGTTTTATAGTTTAACCTTCATTGAATGATTGAAAAAAGTTTTATGTCATCATAAATATTCAGGATTTTGTTGTTAAATATATAAGTTATATGTTATAGAAAATATTAAATACAAATTTAAAAAAAGAGGAAAAATCAAGAGAAGTTAAACTTATGTAGGGTTTAATTATTTTTGCAATATTTTGCTTGAATTTAGTTGTATTATCTATCTATATATGTACATTTCTAAATATGTTGGCTGAATAAAATATTATTTTAATACCTGTTTAATAAATTTGTTTTGTTCAAAATACATTGCCTATATTCACTGAGAAATTAATAAATATATTCATTTTCAAAAAGGGGTGTACTCTGTAAATACATTGTTGTCTGATATAATGTTTTGAAATATAATATTATATAGTAAGAAACATTGTAATCTTTGCTAAATGTATTGTACATTTTAATACTAATGCTTCTTTAATACTTCTGCAGAAAACGATTTGTCAAATCACAGTAAATAAATATTTTGTATATTTTTGTGCCAGAATCACAATTGAAGGAAGATGTGTCAACATAACTTGCAGAACTCTTATGAATAACCTTACGACCGATCATTGACTTTAAACCAGGTGGTGGAAAATATTATGTTCATGCACAGATGAATACAATTTCTTTGAAATGCTTTAAAAATCATAGAAAATACCATCAATGTCGACTCTCTCATCTTTCCATCCTCAAACAGTAAGGAGTGTATTTGTGATTCCACATCACCTCCTCTTGATATAAAAGCAACACACAGCTTCATTTCTTTAGCATGAGATGTCCCACATGTCCTCTAGCTGATAGGATAGAGACTGTTTGGCAAGGTCATCCATGTATGTGGGTGTGGATCAGTCATTGGTCTGGGAACTGCCCTTGGATCAGTGTTTCACAGTCCTTTAGGCCCCTTGGGGCCAGTAGACCCGACCAATGACTTTTTCATTGGCTTTGATTCTTATCATATTCCCATGGGTTCAGACACCCTGCTATGACCCTGACTGTCCTTAAATCTTGCATATTAAATGCCTCCAATCTAAATCTTGTTAGCTTTCTCGTATTATCACATCCCACTGTTGTCATTCTTCATGTCGGGGATTTAACATTTTGTTCCTTACATAAAACAAATGCATTGTACTTTTTTTCCCTCTAAGTCCCGACTAGCTTGAGTGACTTGACAGTGTTTTCATTTCTATCTCAGTCCTTTTTTTCGCTTTAATCCCCGTCTGCTGTGTTTTCTGACACTATGTAAAACGCTCGGCTGGATATTTTTCTTTCTTCCTCTACCTTTACAGTTGTCATGGCAACAGCTGTTAAAATTCAGACAATATAATAGCACATAGCACACACACACGTTTGGCTTTGTGTTTTTTTTTATTTTTGTGGGCTTTTCATATAAAATTTGTGAGATATAACATTGCATATATTCATAGATAGAGTTTCACCTTACAACAAAGGTCTTTCTACTAGATATCACATTAAAATAACCATGTTTGTTTGTTTGTTTGCGCATTTAATACCCAATAAAAGACTTAAAGGTACCAAGACTGGTTACTCAATCCTCTGCTAAAAAGCAGATCAAGTTCATACGAGTCAAATAAAGTGACAGAACATTTACTCAATGGATTCGTCGTTGCGGGATGCTTGGCTTGGAGGGGGCAAAGAAACTAACGAATGAGTGATAGGAAAATGGAGATGCGAATTAATGGTGTACCATGATCACAATGCAAAAGAACAGTCTAAAGGGTCATCGTTATAGACGCACAACATTATCCTGGTTTATGTACACGTTCCTGTACCTCCTCCACCATCCAAACTTGTAATCCAAACATAATACTGAAAAAACCATTTACAAAATGGCCATACTTTTCTCCCCAGATGCCGCCAAGAATACTTAAAGGTCATTACCCACTTGAATTTCCAGTATGTACAAATTTGTCTTAAAGACGTTGAGCTGCGCCATCATTTATTCACAGTCATGTCACTTCAGATGTACGATTTTCTACCTTCTACGAAAATGCCCAGTCAATGAAATCCCAAGAGTTATACCTCTATTAAACTTCCATTGTATGGGTTTTCAATTATGTGTCTTTTGGGATTCAGCAGCCCTATCTCACAAGGAAATTTAACTATTTTACGCATTGTATTTGTATGGAAACATACAAATTTAAAAAAAATGTGCTCCCTAACCCCAACTTTAGCCCTGCTCCTCATTGGAGGATGAGCAAATCATACTAAAATGTAGGAACGAGACTGCACAAATGAATATGAATTAGACACTATATAAAAAAGTTACGAATTCCCATAGGATTGCATTGGTTTCACAGTCAAAGCCAGTTCCTGGAGGGCCGCAGCTCTGCACAGTTTAGTTTCAACCTTAATTAAACACACGTGATCAAACTAATTGAGTCTTTCAGGCTTGTTTGAAACCTACAGGTAAGTGTGTTGAAGCAAAGTTGGAACTAAACTGTGCCGAGCTGTGACCCTCTATGAACTGGCTTTGACACCTGTGGTTTAGAGTGACATGAAGATGCTTAAATGATGGCATTTTGCTGTGAACTACTCCTTTTTTTGGACTTTCTTGCTTCAAATGCTCATTTTTGTCGCTAAAGTCCGGCTGACCTCCATACCGTCAGTGTACCTGATGAGGCGTGGGTACCATTCACTCTGCTTGTTTTCGTTTTCAGGTGGCGATCCTGTGGAGTGTGGATTAAAAATCTACCTGGTGGTCTTCCTCCGTACCAGTGTTTCTCCACGGAGGGCGTTAACAGAAAGTCTTACGTAAGAATATGCTTGCACACAACATGAACATACGCTAGTTGTCAGCCCGAGAAATTAGTCTGTCAGTGTCTCCAATCAGTCACCGCTGGGCATTTCCGTCCAGCGGTAGGCTGGAATGGTGTAGTCCTCTTGCAGAGGGCCTGGACTCCACTGATGAGTCCTGGTCCTCAGTAAAGCTCTCTGGGCTGGCATCCCCATCCAGCAGACTCCCGCAGCTGGAGTTGGGGCTTAGCATCTCCTGAAGGAGGTCGTCCCGCACTAGAGTTGCATCTCTGCTGTCCCGATTGGCCCGGGCGGGAGCTTCACCGCCGACCATGTCGTCCTGGTCGTTGAGGAGCTTAGCCAGAAAGTTGATGTACTTCATGGCCAGACGCAGGATCTCGTTCTTGCTGAGTTTCTTGTCAGGAGGGTGTGTTGGGATGAGCTTGCGCAGCTCTGCGAAGGCACCGTTCACATTCTGCTGTCGCCAGCGCTCGCGACTGTTCGTGAAAATCCGTCGCACAATTTTGGGCTGCGAACCTGTAGAAACAAAACAAATACACTGTCAGCAAAGAGTTTTCCAAGATTGTCAGAGTACATTTTCCACACTAAATTGATTGTTCGCCCAACAATAGCTACGTTTCCATCCACCTATTTTTATGGGCATTTTGGATATGCGCATGAAAAAAATTGTTTGATGGAAAAGCCAAGATGTGCATTAATGTTGAAAATGTGCATAAATATATTTTATATATATTTTATTTTATACATATTTTAGAGCAGTAATCTCAATACTGTGATACAGTGAAACCTTGATATGTATGTTTAAGGTTATCATACCATCAGAATCTTATACTGGCCCATGACAAGTTGGACCCACATAAATGTCTGCTTCCAAGACGATAATTTGATGTTGCTGTACTGGTTGTTACCAAGTTACAGACAAAAATAACATGCTCACAACATCCAATCAGATCAGAGGAACCGAAAAGCAATGTGGTGTTTACGACATCACAGGGAAGGAAGCATTTAAAGGCTTAAAGCACAAACTGTTTCTCAATTCTATGACTGTATTTGCATGCAATTGACGAGTAGTCACACTGTTGCAGGCAAACTAAACTTTAGTGACAAGGCAGCGATGACCCAATCGGGCCAGTAATGATGTTGTCTAATGTCCTGAGCAGTCCTTACTGTTAAGCCCTACAATGATTCTAATCCTGCCTGGAGAGGGCTGAAAGACGTTTAGGGACTTTTACGGACAAATTATAGAATCATATTAGAGACTATTGTTTAGTATTATTTTAGGGTCTTTATAATGTGGCCAAACAACCATGATGTCCAAATCGCCAGTTTTTAGCATTTTTATTCATTTATAAGACGCCTTTATCCACAAACACTCAGGAGCAGCTTGGGGTTCAGTGCCCTGCTAAAGAGACTCTAGGGACCATGGTATTGAGGGTGGAATAGAGTGCTGCTTAGTCACTACCCCCATCTTGAAATCCCTGTCGATGCCAGGACTCAAACCTGCGACATTTGGATCACAAGTTCAACTCCGTAATCATTTTGCTACATGTAACAGTGTATGTGACAAATAAAGGCTTCATCATCATCATCATCGTCATGCCCATGTCTGCCCAGTCAGTTAAATTCAGAGTGGGTCAAATTCAGATCATAGTATGTGGTGTGGATGTGGGTGAGGTTTTGATGAGTTTGTGAATTTAACCTCACTACCCTGATCTCTAGAGGTGCATTAGCAGCAAATACTAGAGGTGGCAAGTCTTTAGCTTGCTTGTTAGTGTGACATCTCCATTGGCAGAGTCGTTGGTTTCCATCCTGCTCAGAGTGGGTTGAAGGGAAACTGAGGGGCTACATTGGTGCCGTGAGGTTTATGGGTGGGAGTGTATTGTGTTTTTAGTGTACTTTTAATTAGGGATGTCCCAATCAAGTTTTTTGCCCTCATTTTGAGTCATTTGATTTTGAGTATCTACCGATACCCGATCCGATACTTTTATAACACATTAAAAAAGAATAAAAAAGAGCGAAGAAATAGATGCAGGATGATCCTTATTTTTTATTTAATTCACCTTATTTTAACATTTAACATCTCTGTTAACAAGCAGAGCACTTCTGTGAGGTAGCTTGAACAATCAAGTAATAAATAACATACATTCTTCACTTTTGGACCTTTGCGCAACAGAAAATATAAAAAAGAACCAATATAAAAACAAATAGCACCTCAACTTAAAATACCCGCCAGTCAATCCCAAGTGTCGTCGTCAACTTTATAATACCTCCAGACCATTTTCTGCTTCAAGCTACTTCTGTGTTCTACTTTGCCAGCATTTAACCAATAGCATCTCTGCAACAAAGTGATGTCATTCTGCACGCGTAGTCATGACAGAGGTCTAACTCTGCGCCACCACATAACTACAGATGTGTTCAAAAATAATGAGAAAATAAATATACATATACATTCAAATCCTGATCTGGAGGTAACGTCCAATTCTGATCGAGTCTGAAACCACATGACAGGGCCCGATTTCTGATCACATGATCGAATCTGAATATCCCTACTTTTAATGCACCCAGTTCTCATCAGCAATTTTGAATTGAGTTCACACTCAAAAAATTATTTTTGCTGCTTGTTCAAACTATTTAATTCAAATGAGCTGAATCAACTCAATTCTTGAGGGTTTTTGGGACAACTTCATTGTTTTATGTTCAATCCACTTAAATTTGTAAAAAAAAAAAATTACGTTAACTTAACTAATTTGCATCAGGACAACATGAAGCAATTGTGTGGAACTCAGGATTGTTTACACTGCAGAGCAGGTTGCGGAGAATCGGAAAGGTGAATGGGGTGAGGTTTAAAGGTAGCAAGTAAACCTCCCATGGTAAGCCAAAATCAATGCTTTAAATCTCGCTGGGCACTGGTCAAGTAGAACCCAAGAGGTTTTTTGGGGTTGTCAAAACTAGCCTTTTTTTTACTGAGTGGGCGAGTTCTTGTTCATAACACATGAGCAGCGTTTAATGACATGGTTGAGTGCTTTAACAGTGGTTTCCTTGTGAACACACCTAAGGTGTTCACTCACTTCTCACTGATAGATTAGCTCTTTATCTCCCCCTATTTAGCCAAGAATTAATTAACCTTTCTATTATCTATGGCATTTTACATTCAATTATTCAGGGCCATTTCTCATCCTAGACAGCTCTGTTGGAACAGGGCTATCAATGCTTCACTGTGCCTGATGCACCAGTGACTTCATATAATTACACTTAGTTAAATGGATTCCCGGCCTCTCGAGTTAAGGAATAATTTAAAGCATTTTTTTTTCGGAAAGGAAATTGTCTTGAAGAGCCGGCGAGGGCAGCATTACTTTTGATGCCCTGCTATATCGCCTGTGAACATATTGTGTCATGCATTCGCCGTGTTCATCTCATTAGAATCCCGCATCTCTTTCTCAACACTCGCAGCCAAACACATTGGATACATTTGCATTTTTATAGGCAACTCGCAGCTATCTCTCCAGTGCATACACTGATTTTTTTTTTCTATTGGCAACTGTATGCACTTTTCCCTCTCTTTCTTACATGATTAATCATCTTTGTTTTATGCAGTATTTTGTTAGCAGTTTGTGTTTTTACTTTAATATGGCATTTCTTGCTTAGAATATATCACAGTGCATCATTCAATTGCAGAGTAAATCAATTTTAATTTAACGGAAATCATTTGAAATTCTTAAATGTTTTCTTTTACTACTATTGGCTTTTTCTGCACTTGATTTCAGATCGAGAGACAAAAATGATGAAGAGAAAATCAGAAATGAGAGAACTGCATAATTGGTAAGGTTTAAAATGCTCTTACCATCGTTGATTTCAACCTCATAAGGTGCAGGTCTGCGCTTGACTCGATTGCTAGGATACATCCCATACTGTTCCGCATCTCCAGCAAAACCACTGAGGAGAAACACACAGTTCAGCATGTGGGATTGAAGCAATGAAAAACAAATATACAGTATTTTAAAAAAAGGATGCTCTGTTGCAGATTATTCCTGTTTATCTTATCTTTATTCAAATGCCATTAACCAGAAGAGAATGAGATGTTGAAATGTCATTAATAAAGACACTTGAGTGCTTTTTTTTCTTCTTATTAATGACATTTTGTCCTCCATTTCTGTTCTGTTCTTTAATGTATTTAAGATAAATACTTAAATAATAAAATAATAATAAGATTAAGTGTTTAACCCTATAAGATGCACTCCTTGAAAATAATTTGCATTAGATAATATACTGATACAACTCTGATCAATAATAAGCAATTCAAATAACAATGATATAGCCCATGGATAAAAGGTAAACCAGGTGAATATGATGCCTGTTTAATACAGTAACATTTGATCTTTTCACTGTACTTTAAGTTTAAATGATGTATGCACTTTTTTCTTATTACTCGTGACGTTTTTCTTATATTTTAAGCATGTATTTAGTATATATTAGTATTTAGTCATTAGAGGATGTCAATAAATAAAGAATAACACATTTCATAAATAATTAAGCATATAGTGTATATAAAAATAGCCATTAATGTATTATTCATTCATATATTACATTGCTAATAGAGAAAACAAATATATATTTATGGAAGAAAATAGGTTAAATTTAAAAAAAACTGTTAAAATCAGAAAACGCACCTGTATATAGAGCCTAAATTAAATAATGAATATAAATGTCATGAAGAAAAAACACCACTTCAATACATACTTTAAGCTTGGAAAGGGTAAAAATATCAAAATAGGTTAATATATGAAGAGGTCAGATGCAAAAACCTCTAAATGCCATCTAAACTTTATTTATTTTATTTAAAATGAGCATTTTTCTCAGGCTCTTGTTATGTAGGTTCAGTAATTTTACATTTTTGTTTATTAATAGAGTATTTTCGTTGCCTGTAATGTGAAAAAACATAACAGGAAGGGAAGGAAATTTTAGATGGCATTTAGAGAATTTTGCATCTGAACTCCTCATATATTAATCTTTTTTCATGTTTTTACTTTTTCCAAACTTATTTTACTCTCTAAATTGTTTAAGTGGCCTTTTATCTTTTTCTTCATGACATTTATATTCTCCTTTTATTCATTATATAATTTAGGCTATAGAGGTGCCTTTTCTGATTTTATCATTGCATTTTTTCAATCTATTATATATTTTGTTTTCTCTATATCACATTCGATAGCTAATGGAGAAAACAAACTGCGTATTTAATGTGAAATGAAACAAATGAAACGAAACGTCGTTAAAAATAAGAATAATACAAACTATAGAATAAAATAGATATCATAATATCATGACTAATCTAAAAAGGCACTTAAAATACATAAGTTAGCCTTAGGAAACGAAATACATATAAGGTAGAAGAATATATCGAATATGAATAGCAAGATTAAAAAAGAAATACATTTTGCCTAATACGTTTATAAAATGTAAAACGAAAAAATAGACAAAAAATAAGAGTACATAAAGAGTTATACATTCATTTTAGCTTGTTCTATCATCGAAAAGGGAAAGCGAAATATGACAAACGAATAGAAAAACGAAAAAATGAAAATATTAGGCTATTGCATCAATATATTTGCAAAATAACTGCTCAGTTCTGATAGCATTATAAAACATATATATTAACTATCTTAAAAATTTATTATTTGTCTAAAAGTATTTAGAGAAAGCCCTAAGAAAATTAAAAACGAAACGATTTAAAAACCTTTCCAATATTATAATGCGCAAAAAATAAAGCAGACTTGAACTGAACATCAGATATTCCCTGGATGATCTTCTTCTATTTTTGAAGCATTCAGAATTACTTACTATTTAGTTCCTCACCTACTTTCTGTGCCTTTAATTGCCATGAGTATAAAGCGGCGTTACCTGTTAATAGTGGCGAGCGGCGTCGTCATGTTGCTGTAGAGCATCGCTCGTGCCGGGAGAGGGAAAGCGGGCGGACTCAACTGCACCATTCGAGTGTCGCTCAGCGGGTCTCTGGGAGGCAGTGGCAAGGGAATCGGGGGTCTGCACAGCTCGGTGGTCTGCACCTTATGGCTGAGTTCTGCCTTGAGCTCCCTGCCTTTTATATCCGCGCTCCCTCCTCTCCTGGACAGCTCGATCACCGCCACCTCCTTTTTTAGCTCGGTGGCGTGGTGAGCCGTTTCCTTGGCAACACCATTGAGCTCCTCGGGGAGGCGATGCTCTCCTGTCTCCGCCGTCGTGCCTTCCTGTTTCCCGCGCGCGTCTCCATCCCCGCGTGGGGGAGAAGCGCAGCCCTCCGCACTCGGGCTCAGCGGAAATTGCTCGGATTTCAGTTTTTCCATCATCCTTCGGCGCGATCCCAGAAAATGTACAAAGTGGTATCCAAATCAAGTTGTAAATCCCGGTTTAGCTTCTCATCCGAGGTCACCTGTGAAAGAACACACCTTTATGAACGCGTGCGTGAGTGAAGGAAATGAGCTTTTTTAACGCGCATCCTTTCTGTCCACGGCGCGCGCGTGACTGGAAACACTGACAGTACAGTAATGAAGCTCTATGACAGCACGTGTCATCTGTGTCTGCTGCTGTATCCATATAAAAAGCCTGTGAGATCAGTTCTACCGCTTTTGCTTTCAATAACAGGAAGGTTGGACACTCTTTAAAATTTAAAGGCTTTATATTGATGTCGGTGACTCCACTGAGGACATCTTTGGATTATTTACATTCTTTAAACTGGAAAAACATCTTTGTTATTGAAATGTTCTTCATTCAAGAAATAAATGGATGTTTTTTTTTAGGGATGGTTCCTTGAGAAACCAAAAATGGTTCATCTGTTGACTCTGTTGAATTTTTTTAGGAGTTCTACATGTTTGTGGTGTGGTTTTATGTCTCGACCTGACCTTGGTTTGTCACTGCTCTGCTCATGGTATCTGGAGATAAGCCTGTTTCTTCGTTGGGACAGAGCTTATCTTCTGCTAACATGGTTGTACATTTATAACAGAATATGATCTGCATAATTATTACAGGATGATTCAATAACACATACCCAGATTGGCATATTAAACCGTATTTGAATGTCAAATAAACGTAATTATTATTATTTTTTTGGCATTGCTCGCCAATGTAAACAAATTATATAATGTCAGTGTAAATATCATATTTCTATTTATTAGTCACTAGTGTTGTTTTGTTTTATAAGCAAAACAGAAGCTTAGTATATGGCGTTGTATTTACATATTTTATTTAATCCAGACTTTAAGCTGAGATTACGTTGCGTTTTATTTATTTGTTGCACTTTTTAATGTCATTGCTTTTTATTTCAGATGGTTAATCTTTCAAAAACAGTTAGCTTGTTAATTTGCCTGTTTATGTCTTTAATAATATCGTCGGTGCAATCCGTTGTGATGTGATGTGATGCACGTTATATGTATATGTAGCCTAGTTTTTATTATGTACTGTTTTCAGCCTCTTCCATCTATGAGTCTTGGCAATATTTTGCCAATTTGTTTGTGTGTAAATATATTGCCACTTATTTATTAATGCATTAATAATTACCCCATTTGTATTTACACAGAACAAGCTGCAAAATATCATGAAGAGGCATTCACGCAATTTAAACTGTTTAATTGTAGCCTGCAGTCTTGTTTACTCAGTATAGTTATTTAATAAGAAATATTATTGTACATTTAGATTTTAGCAAATGTTGTGAGTTGTTAAAACAAAACGTTTTGATTCAGACATGAAACGAGCAGATTTAACGGGGATAAAACAATATTTAAGGTCGCAAATAGACTCTAAATTCGACACGTGAATGACAACTCATTTCAAAAATACAAATAAATCATATCCGACTTGTATAGTAGCCTAGCTAAAATATAAATGTCCATTTTAGTTTTAGAAATGAAGAATCCTATAAGAATATTATTATTAGGAGTGTTATGAGTTTATATGTCTATTATCAAAACGAAAAGAAAATAGCGGGCCCGGATGTTTTTAATGGAAAATCGAAACGAATTTCCTAACTTTTAGATAGGAAAAATCATGTCAAAAATGCTCTTTAATTAGAAATGAAATGCCAAATCGATTTCTGTATTCTGCAGGCTCAAGGGCCTATATGCTCCAGGACCGAATACAGCCAAATAAAAATGCCATAAACCCAACATGACCGCATATTAATCATCTCGCGTCGATCAAACGCCTAATTATGATCTGCGTTAGTATCAAAATAGCGCAGAAACACCAATATTCGCCTCTTACCGTCGTCGGGCGGTGGATGTTAGTGTGTGCATGGAGCCATTTTGTGGAGGGTCATCCATGTCTGAGGTTTTAGATGCACTGAAGTGCTGTGTGGAACTGGAAGTGAGGTCTATATAATTCCACATCACGTCCAGCGCGCGCCTCTCAGTATGGGGAGCGGAACACGGGCGCAATGTGGCCAGGCGAGATAAGAGCGCCGTGGCGGCCACTGCGCGGTCGATAAGCCCCTAAACCCATTATTTATGAAATGATTCATTATTATTTTGCTTTTTATCGAGGGCAAATGCGAAGAGAAAAATATAGACTTATATTGTGAATGGATATGCATAAAAAATAACTCAGCAGATTGAGGAGGGAGGGGAAAAACCAATGCGTAATATTGTCGAGCTGCTTCAGGGCTCAATCAGAAATTAATTATGCGGCCAAAAGTAACACATTTTCAGTGATATCGGCTGGGGGAAAGTACCATTAGCGGCGGTTTGTTTTACACATTTCAGCGTTTTCGGGCGTTCAGATTAAACTGGAAGTCGTGTTCATAACATAACCCTCAGTGAGTAAAAAATGTTAGGCAGGTTATTAAGGTAAGCAGACAAACGCCAACCCAAGAATGCACACGAATAATATTTTCTGAATGATTATTTAAGGGGATATTCGATGTCAATTTAAGGTAGAGTTTTTTTTCTTTTGTAAATGCCTGATAACTAAATTAATGTATTTATTCAGGATGCACAATATTTATTCTATTATTTACTGTTATTACATTTGTCGGAATTGGACAGTGTTGTAGTTTTTATTGCAGATTATTTACCCTGCTCTCCATACATGCATGTTAAAATATTTTGTTTTTGCTACATTATACATTTTAAATGTTTTAATGCCTTATTGCACTAAAAATACAGGATAATTTGGATCAATTTTAACATTTTGTAAATAACTAAATTCTATATACTATTTCATGTTTTATAGGCTAATGGTTTATTTTAGTTCAACTTAATTTATATTATTCAGTTATTCATTCATTTTCTTTTTTGCTTATTCACTTTATTAATTTGGGGTTGCCACAGCGGAATGAACCAACTTATCCAGCACCTGTTTTACGCAGCGGATAGCCTTCCAGCCGCAATCCAACACTGGGAAACACCCACACACACTTGAACACACTCACATACACTACGGCCAATTTAGCTTATCCAATTCACCTTTACCGCATGACTTCGGACTGTCGGGAAGCCGGAGCACCCGGAGGAAGCCCACACCAACACGGGGAGAACATGCATTGCAAACTCCACACAAAAATGTCAGCTGACCCTGCTGTGGCTCAACCTCCTTGCTGTGAGTTGCGATTGTGCTATAACTGCTCCACCCTGCTGCCTATTTTATATTAGTGTTATTTAATTAATATATTGGTCACAGTCATAAAATGTAATAACTGGTGCATCCTTGAAATTCAAGTTATTTAATTCATAATTGATACACTCTAAAAATGTTGTTTTTTTACCCAAAGTTGGGTAAAAATATAGACAAACACAACATTTAATTATAAAACAAAACTGTATGTTACCCAATGTCCATCTATAAACCAATGTAATCATGTCATTGGCCCATGAACATTTCCTGCTTGTTATGGAACTATTTCATAACTGTAACAAGAGGCATTCAATAAAAACTCAATGTTTAAACAGCTATCATAATCAATATGGCTCCTTTTAGATTCTCGGAAGCTTTAGAAATTAAACATGTCAAAAAGAAAATACAATGGGATCATTGTTTTTGTTTACATCCCTCAAAATGGTCTATATGCTAGTATTTCAAGGGAAAATAGTAAGCTGCAATGCATTTCGTCAAATGTTTTTCCTTTTCAATGAAATGTTGACTGACTACTGAAGATGTTTCCCTGATGATGGAGATATGAAGCTCATTAATTCGTCATCACCGTGATCGTTGTCAACAAATTTACTCCAGCATTAACACAGATAACCGTAATTGTCAACATCGGAGAGGGGTGTCAGGTATAGAGGAGAAGACAGACACTTGATAATATATCTTCATGAATGAATGTATGAAATACACGCAGAATAATATGTGGGAAATCAGCTCCATCATCTAAGAGCCTTTGATCTCGGGCCTTTGTTAGTTCATTGCTACGGATTTTGAGTGATTTGGGAAGGATGCCCTGCGAGACTCGCCAGAATTTGGTGTAAACCTCAAAGGACCACCTTGCGGAGTGCGATAAGACGGTATCAGTGAGCCAACGACCTCGGGTTCATCCATCAGACAGGGATGAGAGCCACTGGGTGTACTAGAGCTGTTTGGCAGACACTACCACCATGACAGCTTCCTCCCATGACAAGCTTTTCCCCGTGTTTGCTCAATCCAGTAGACCATAAACTTGCTCTAAATTTACCAGCATTATTTCCAGGTGTTAATAATAAACGCCCACCGCAAGAATATTTAATTCACCATTTCAAGATGCAGACTTGCCCTCTCCATCTCATGATGTGCTCAAACCGACCCTCTCACACTTAAGGTGAGTTTTCCTGTGGAGTTCTTCAAACTAGGACTGTTTGGAAGTGCTAATTTTCACTCTTTCCCCCATAAACAGGAAAGGACTCTTTTAACACTCACAATCCGATAATTTTCACTACCTGTCACGATTCTGAGCTGAGCTCGCTAATGTCACGACCAACTTCCTGTAGGGCCCACTCGGTGAAATGGGTGAGTTACGAGCGTTTGACGGCGGGTTGGGGAAACTCCAAAGTTTTCATTTTAATATACACATTTAAAACTTTGGTTTTGAATAACAAAGGTAGCCAAAAAAAAAAAAAATAAGCTAAATAGGCTAGGCCTACACATGGGTGAACTAAGTTGTCAGGTCCGTTTACACGTTACCAAAAAATACTAGGAGTATTGTACAACACGGAATCCTATGGTAAAACGTCCCCCAAAAAACAACAAATTACTAATTACCACATATTTTTGTGAGTTACAGTTGATGTTTCACCAAATGAAACGCGATTAATTTTTATAAGTGGTATAGGGGTGGTTCGACCCACTTCACTGACAAAGGTCCAGAATGTGTCCCATGAGCTCATTTGTCTTATTTTGACTGCTATGCCATCATAAATAGTGAAAATAACCCATCAAAAAAAAAGTTTTTTTTGACAAGGTGCCTCTTCTGTCGCTCCAGTGTAACTTCTGTTGATCAGTTTTGGCCAACGCTAACAAATATTTTTCATGAGTCTAACATCCATCTGTGCAAGAAAGCATCTGATGCAAGAGAAGTCCTCTTACGTTACTGCACTTTTTTAAATAGAGAAAATATTTTGCAGGGGAGTTTTAATGTAAATCCTGGAACCGAAAATGACCAATAGGTGTAAAGCACCAAAAGTGACCAATATTAATGAATTTGAATACTATTTTGGCTAGTGTTATCAATAAACTTTACTGTTTTGGTTGTAATGACTGTCTGCCAATCTGTTTCAACTAAAACGGTGCTTAAAATGTCACTAAAATGCAGTATTTAAATGTAATAGTAGCCTAAATGAGGCAAATAACCGCAAAAAGATCCACTTTGAAATAAAAACCCCACCCCCTTTCACCAGGCTGGCTACAGGCCTAGTTGTCGTCTGAGGTATAGCTGACAGTGAGAAAACAAATAGTGCCATAAAGTGAATAGACGAATTTTGAGCCAATAGCAATTCCAGTTTTATTAGACAACCATTAGAAAACAAGCAGGAGAAGAAACTCATAATAGTTTTTGGGTTTTAATTATTTGTTTGTTTGTAGTGTGGCATGGTTAAGTGACATGGCCAATGATTTCGGGATTTCGGGTGAAGAAGGCGGCTCATTCTCATTCCCAGGGGCAGATTTAACCAATAAGCAAGGTAAGCGGCCGCTTAGGGCCCAAGGAAATCGGAAGGCCCTCAAATAAATACCTATAAATAATATTGCTTTAGATTGTTTTTTGGGTCACACTTTATTTTAATGGTCGGTTTGTTGAATTTAAGTTACATTGCATCTGCCAGCTAATTCTCATTAGATTATAAATAGACTGTTAGGTTAGGTTTAGGGTTAGGTTTAGGGTAAGTTGATACTTGCAAAATGTCTTATAGTTAAATGTCTGTTAAAGGAGCAGTATCAACAGAAATTAAGCAGACAGTCTACTGATGCTCAAATGGACCATCAAAATAAAGTGTTACTGTATTTTTTGTGAGGGTCTAAACATTTTAATTTAAATTTTAATTATTACATGCGCAAATGTGTCCACCTCAAAACTAATTCGTTTAATTATTGTTTTTAGTTGCGAGTTAACTTTAAGAAAACAAATCATTTCAAAAGTTTTACAAGATGTTGCAAGATGCTTTACTATGTTTATATTTTGCATTAAGATTAAATGTAGAAAAGAAGACTGAGTGGTATACGAAAACAAAAAACAGCAAAATAAACAAAAATAAAGTACAAAAGGGGCATTTTAGAACTTTTTGGCCTCATGGCTGCTTAGGGCCCCCAAAGTCACTAAATCAGCCCCTGCTCATTTTACCATACAGGAACGTAGAAAGTAATGGTTTTTGAAATATTTTTTTCACCTCATAGCTCCTTCTGTACAGTAAGAAGGCTAAACAAAAATAGGCCTATTTCAAAAACATGTTACCGAACCCTCAGTTTAATAAATGTGAAATAAAATGTGCAAGAAAAAAAAGAAAAATATGTTTTGTAAAAACAAACCTCTAGCCATTTGAGTGCTGAAAACTGAATTAACTAATGGGAGATCACTAGCTGTGCACTTGAGATTTGTTGCCATGTAAAAATGGCTCTAAATTATCTACAAACGTGTTGTTGTTTTTGTAGAACAGTCAAAATAACCTCTTAATAATCTAATTTTGATTGACAGCCTAAAAATACAAATTAAGGGGTTGTTCAACAAAAAAAGCAATATTTACACACTATTTACTCACCCTCAAGTGGTCCCAAACATTTATGAGTGTCTTTATTCTGTTGAACACGAAATAATAGAATTTTGAAGGAAGCTGAAAACAGCTGTAAGCATCAACGTCCATAGTAGGAACAACA